AGTGGATTGGGTGTTGAATGTAGTGGAGGAAATTTGTTGCTGAGAAGGATATCACGGGGAGCGAGAATAAGGATAAGCACTTTAGAGAAATAGATTCCAATTGACGCCCGCTATGATATACCTACCAAACTCCCGCTTCCCAATAAAGGTAGGTGAACATCACGCATCCGAACCAGATTGAGCCCACCTCCTCTTAACCATCCTAACCCACCTCCGTCTCCTCCACTCCCCTCTCCGTCCCCTCTCTCCATCCCCCTCACTCCCCTCCTCCCAACTAGGCAAAACCCTCCTCTTCCCCTCCTTCCTCGGCGTCTCATCATCTCCCTCATCTTCCCCCTCCTCACCCTCGTACCTCAAATCATACACCCACCTCTCCCCCTCCGTTTCAACCTCCACGCCCGTTATAATCCGCTCCTCAACCCACTCCCGACTCCACAGATCCAACGCCCACTTCTTCTCACTCCACTCCCATTCCTCGGGCGCGCGCACATCCTCAAAAAACCGCGTCCCCTTCGGTCGTTCGCTGCGTATCCGGATCTCGCTAAGTGGATCATACGGCGACGCGCTGAAGAGCCAGGCTTCCCATTCGCCGCCCGCGGACAGCTTTTCGAGCTCGAAAATCTCGACTTCGCGCGTCTGCGGCGCGGAATCGAGGATGATGTCGTGGGCGATCCAGGTGTTGAGCCAGGCCTGGGCAGCTTGCTCATGGGGCACGATGTGTGTGCGATGGGTGGCTAAGAATTGGCGTTGGAGGGTTGGGTGGCCGAGGGCGGTTAGGGTCCAGCCTGTTACCAGAAAGAGAATGCGCCAGGGGAAGAGGTGACTTCCTATGAACATGGCGAGGGCGGCGGTGAGGGTGAAGAAGAAGAGGGTTGAGGAGAGGGCTTCGTTGGAGAAGTTTGTGGGGGGGCCGAGGAGGGAGATTATCTTGTCGTGGGCGCGCGAGAAGTCTTCCATGCAGTTTTGGAGGTCGCGCATGTTGCGGAAGAAGTCTTTGGATAGTTCTTTGGCGGGTTTGACGGTGGGTGCTGGGGCTAGTGCTGGGCCTGTGGTGGGGTATTGGGTGGAGGATTCTATGTTGATTGTGGATGGTGGTGCTGGATGTCTGGCGATGAAGGAGGGTATGAGGAGGCCTAGTATTAGGAAGACTAGCGGTAGAGCTGTGAGGAGGAACGGATCCAGGCATACGAATGTGTATATGGCAAGAAACGACAACGTATGTGTAGGGTACTTCCAGGATAGAAGCTGTATTGCTTTCGTTTGGAAGACAAAAACAACACCTATTCGAGCATTGAATCTGCGGAAATTGTTGGACATGGTGGTGATGTTAAAAGAAGGTCTTGACACGAATTCGGATTGAGAATTGCTGGTAGAGTCTTTACTTGAAGATTGATCCTCGATAGGTATCACTTGTTGTAGAAGTCTGAATCACATGTCAGAAGAGTACAGTATCAAATGGAGTCTACGTACTTTTCCAGCAATCGATCCTGCACACTGGCATTCCTTTCAGATACCTTTTCTTTTGTGTTCTTGAATGTATCTCTTAGATTTTTGCCTTGCCTCCAGAATCGATCCCTTTTGCGTTCATCTCCTGGCACTTCAAAGTGATCATTCCCTTCATCGTTGGACAAATGATCCTCCGGCCTCTCATCAAGTGCCACAACCGGAATTGGCTCTTCCCGGTTGGCAAACGCTTCATATGCGTACTCATCCATCTTCAGTATCGTGAATATGCTTTTGATGTGGTGGTAGAGTTTCGGGGAATATCTCGATCTTTCGCGGGGTATTGGGACACGATTCGAGCAAAGCAGGCGAGCGCGCCCAGACGATGGGTGCCCAGATTAGTGTAGAGACTGGCGATGAAGGTCAATAACTTCAATATTGGGTGTCAAGTCGCGTCGACACGTCCAACGGGGATTATCTCAACTTCTTCGACGAAGCGTGGTGTTGATGGTGTTCTTTAAGACGCGAAATGCCATGATGACGTCCAAGCCGCGGCACGCCGCTTGCCAGGCTGTCAGCCTTCTCAAGATCTTGCTTCACACCACCTTTGATATTCCTCCGGCAAACACCACTAACGAGCCGCCTATAAATTGTCCGACGGGAGGAATCGTACATAGCCGTTGAAGCTCTTGATGCGACCAAGTACCAGGCCTTGATTGGGAGTGATGAAGCTTGACTTGGTTGCTGTTGCTCAGCGGCATATGACCCCAGATTTCAGCCTTCCTGTGGAGATACCAATAGGGGAAGACTGCACAAAAGGATAAATGCAATGCACGAGAAGGTTATGCAAGGAGTGTGCAGATTTGTATGTGGCGATTGATGTGCGATTAATGTGGCAATTGCGGTGTAGGTGGTGTTCAAAGTAAGGGGTAAATCCCCCCCTTTTGTTCTTTCATCTCAAGCTCAAAATATCTTATTCGCTTCTGATAATTCAGGGTCCAATTACGAACTAAGTCGTTACTCGAGATATTAAATGTAGTTAGTACGCGGATCTAGTGCGTTTTGGTATTGTATTTATTTGGAAACAGCTGCGCATTTCAGGGGTGACCTTAACAAGACTCTAAATAAGGTTAGGATTGAGGTCGAATTAGGATTTGTCTCCATTATCTCTCCACTACGAGAACTAACGGGTTAGAGAATTAAACATATAGGGTTTAGAGGAGAAAATAGTCACAAGATTCTGCTTTGGCCCAATCATTAGAATGAAATGAGTTATTCTTCTCTCTAGTTACTGTACCTAGGTACACTCCTATGATGTACTATTACACGGCAGTCATAGACTATGCAGCACCTCCGTAAACACCATGGATCCCACCTCACGATACACGACGTCAACATGATAACGTCGATGGAATAACAAAACATTCCAAGCATAAATGACCCTCACCTGTGATCTTTACCAGTCAGATGTGCCTGTTGATCGCTTCCCCCTCTGATGCAACCCTCCAACTGGCTGTCGTGGTCTCGGATGTGGAAAGCCCCTGGCAGTTACCGACCGTCGTTCCCTCAGCAATCAAATCTGAGCGATCAAGGTGGGTGTGTGTACAGTAACGACGAACATCCAATTTCCATGAACACGGTCAACCGCATCTTGCTGCACGCAACAGAGAAGCATTTACTGAGTAGAGAGAATTCCTAGAGAATATCTAGAGATCATCATTTTCACCATCTCCTGAACGCACGACCTTCAACTTTACGCTCGAACGTCCCGCCAAAATTGACGTTCGAATTCGCGACTGGTTTACCCATCCACCGCCCGCCCATCGTATTGGCCGCCTATTTTTCTCGACCCTCGATCCTCAACTCCAACCCTCAGACGACCAGGCCTTGTCCTGGCATCGAACTATTCTGCCCGCGTCCGTTTCTGCGACCTCATCTTGCACCTGTACCACCTCTACCACCATCGCGTCCTGGAGATGAATTAGCTCGCTGTCTTCCTCGGCCTGGAAACGGACTGAGATTAACGGAGAGCTCATCTGCAACCGCAACAGCTAACACGGGAGGTGTGAGACGACCGAGAAGCGTCAATGATTCGGGACTACAAGACTCCAGCAGCTCCCGCGGGCCCAAGACCGAGCTACTCCCCAACTAAATCGTAGGTCCAACCTCCAACCTAAAGCGAATGCAACGCAATTCTCATCCCATCTCGACAACCACCATCCGCGCGTGTCGCATGCTAACCAGATGGGTGATGGGCGCTGGCTAATGATGGACAGGCTGGAAAATAACGCTTTATCGACAAATCAGCGTGTTTCGTCTGGGAGAGAGCCCAATCTCAGTGCCTCGAGGAGCAATAATCATTCATTATTTTCATTTGGCTCAATCGGTTCGGTCGAGCATCAGAAGCCTACCGCCTCCTTCGATTTCCTCCCCTCTCCCAGTTTCGACGACTTGCAAAGCAGCATCACTGGTGATTCTACGAATGATTTCGCGACCCAATTGTCGGCAGTAAATGGGACCAATACCGGGGGGAGCAAGGTCATGACGGAGGGAAAGGGGGCTGTCGCTGGGAGAGCAACGAATGGTCCCAGACCAGCGAGAACAAGTTCTCTGTTACGGAGACAGAGCACCTCAACCAGACAAAGTAGTGTTTCTTCCACCACCTCGGGCACGGCGGGTTCCATGGATCCACCTAGTGGTCCTTTGGCGGTGCGAACCCGCAGACAAAGTCAATATCCTCCAATATCTGGCAGCGGAGCCGCGAATGCTACAAGGGCACCGAGAAAGTCGATAGGACCTGGGGTGGTTGATTCTGATTACACAAGACCAGCCCAGAGGAGACGACCGAGTTTGGCAACGAGTAACTCATCCCAGGGGTTGGCCGAAGCGGCAGGTGCTTCGACTCGAGCAAACATCGGAGTACAGCCGACATATACGGATGGAGCGAGAGGGTTAACTGCATCTCGTGCAGCGAAGACGAAATCTTTACAGCCCCCGTCGAGACAAGGCCAGACACATTTGGCAGCAGGAAACGTTGGAACGCCAGAGCATAGTCGCTCTTCGTCTTTTGCTGGGAAATCGCCCGGAAAGTCAAACGGCAGAGGTACGACTACGCCATCATCAACCTCGAAAAGAATGTCAATGATGCCTGGCATGCCAGGTTCCGGTTCTTCTCACGCAACTGGGCTTGGGGCGAGGACAGTGAGCCCGACAGATGCTCGTCGAGCGAAACGGTTATCAATTTTGCAAGGCCCGCCTCCAATACCAGATACTCCTCCCCAGCCAATGCCAGATAAATCTACGATACGACAGTCTTCGAGATCTCCCTCCATGCTACCTCGAAAGGTTTCCACTCCCTTGTCCTCAAGGACGACGCCTGATCCAAATCGTAAGTCTTACAGTTCCGGCCTGTCAATTGGGTCAACCGCAAGCTATAGCACATCTCAAACTTCGGCAGGGTCATTACAACCGCGGGTATCTCAGCAACAACCTTCCTCATCTCGATTACCCACACCGAAACCTCGAAGTTTGAATAGTTCTGCGGGTAATAACGAGGAGGAAGAGGTACCGCCTGTACCAGCCATACCCAAAGCCTACGAATCTCCAAAAGAGACTCCTATAGAGCAGCCATTTTTCAATAAAAGAGCGTCGAACATGCCTTTTGATACGAGTAGCATTAATAGCACTTCGTCTGCGAGTATATCTGGGAAGAATTCGATACGAGAACCTCCAAAAAACGATCGCGAACCCAAGGCACGACAATTCGTATCTACCACATCTTCATCTGAAGCCGATCAAAACCAAACCACGCCCATTAACACAACCAAAAAGAAGAATCTGAAGCCTTTGCGATTGCCACCATTAAACTTGCTTCCTTTAAGTACCACTACTGCGGCGAAAGTCGCGACTCTTGGCCAAGATTCTTTATCTCCAGACGGCAACGTCACCCCTCCACCTCGCCGCGTCAGTACCAAAACACCAAGCAGTCCGATGACTGCTTCAAAGGCGTCCTTTTTCTCCCGCAACCGACATGATGAGAAGCCCGAGTTTAACCTGGCTCGAATGAGAAGCAGCAGTTCCACTCAGAAATTGAGATCGGAGTCTTCTCAGCCAGAAAGCAGCTCCGAGTCTTCTATGCCAATTCCTGTAAATGGTAACAGACAGCAAAGACAGGCTGTTTCACCCTTCGTATCATCGTCATTACCAAAGAATGGCGGGGAGCATTCATTTATGCCAAGATCCAAGACAAGTGGTGATTTCAGTACCGCCGAGAGCGCAAATGAAGCTCCAAGGCCTCCAAGGTTAACTGGACCACGAGCTCAAAAGGTTACTAAACCCTTAAAAATCGACACTCCACCGAGGATTCCAAGTCCCGATGAGCCTACGACACCATCCTCCGGCACCTCATTGCGACGAAAATTAAGCCTCGGATGGAAACGGAGTACCTCGAAGAGTAACATGTCTCATGCGGCTAGTGAACGAGCTGATCACGCTCCTCTACCACCAAAGCATGATAACATGCCACCCCCTCGACTCCCTGCATCCGCTACGTTGAACAATCTCAGTAGTTACTCCATTCCAAGCCCTAGTCCATCCGTCAAATCTACAACTTACCTTGATTCCAAACGTCGGAAAAGCTCTGCATCAAGCTTGAGCATTTTCAGCGGCCATGATAGAACGAAGAGTGATAGTTGGGGCGCGAATGCTAGCCCTAAGAAGGAATCTGTTGAAAGCAATTTACGTCACGAAAAGAGCTCAAACGGCTCATCGATACGCTCTACCTCATCCGTTATGCAGAAGATGTTGAGGTCCCAATCTTCAACTAATGGCTTGCGAGTTCCAGATCGATGGACTGTAGATTTAGACAAGGATGATTTGATCGCTGAAGAGTATATGAAGAAACTTGCGTCAAAGAGAAAAGAAACGGAACATGCAGCTAGAGTATTGGACGCTCTTCGGAAACGCGCTACGCCAAAAGATAGAGTCTCTGCTAGTCAAGCTCTTCAAATTGCGAACCTTAATATCTATGAACGAGGCGAGATTGTCGATTTCAAAGACGTGTACTTCTGTGGGACTCAACACGCCGCAAAGCATGTTGGTGATCTTACCAGTGATGCTGCCAACTTTGGTTATGACGATGAGCGTGGAGACTATACCATCGTGACTGGAGATCATCTTTCATACCGTTATGAGATAATTGACATCCTTGGAAAGGGAAGTTTTGGTCAGGTTGTTCGTTGTATTGATCACAAAACTGGTGTTTTGGTTGCGATTAAAATCATTCGCAACAAGAAGAGGTTTCATCAGCAAGCTCTAGTAGAAGTCAACATTCTACAAAAGCTTCGCGAATGGGTAAGTCGTTTCTAACTAAAGTTTTTTTTAGAGATGCTAATGACATGATAGGATCCTCACAACAAACACAGCATGGTCAACTTTACCCAAAGTTTTTACTTCCGTGGCCACCTTTGCATTTCCACAGAACTCCTCGATATGAACCTCTACGAATTCATCAAGTCGAATGCATTCCGAGGATCTCATCTTGAGGTAGTCAGACGATTTACGAAACAAATTCTCAGCAGTCTGTTACTCCTGAAATCGAAGAAAGTCATTCACTGCGATCTGAAACCCGAAAATATTCTCTTGGCACATCCTATGCATTCCGAAATCAAGGTCATTGATTTCGGATCAAGTTGCTTTGAAAATGAAAGAGTGTATACATACATCCAATCCCGATTCTATCGATCTCCTGAAGTCATTCTTGGTATGACTTATGGCATGCCCATCGATATGTGGAGTTTGGGTTGTATTTTGGCAGAGGTATTTACCGGAGTGCCGATTTTCCCCGGAGAAAACGAACAAGAGCAACTTGCTTGTATAATGGAGGTCTTCGGGCCGCCCGAAAAGCACCTCATTGAAAAGAGCACTCGTCGGAAACTGTTCTTTGACTCATTAGGAAAGCCACGTCTTACTGTCTCCTCCAAAGGTCGCCGACGTCGTCCATCATCAAAAACACTTTCTCAGGTGCTCAAAACTGACGATGAGCCGTTCCTGGACTTCCTCGCTCGTTGTTTGAGATGGGATCCTGATCGACGAATGAAGCCCGATGAAGCCGTAAGGCATGAGTTCATCACAGGCAAGAAACTGCCTATGCCTGTGCCTCGGACTGCCCTGCGAAACGATTCTCCAATCAAACGCACAAATACTGTATCGACACCATCTGGCAGCAATCGACCACTACCCGAACCACCTGTTACGAGCTTCAAAAACGGCACAGCGGTTAGGAACCGAGAAGCAGCTGGATCTAGTCCAAACAAATCCATCGCCGCAAACGCACATGCTCGAAGAATTTCAAACGTCAACGCTTTCAACACCTCCACCGGGTCAATTGGCAGCAAACGCACAAGTACTGGAGCTATCATTGCAGCAGGAGGCAGTGCGCTTCCTCGAGTCACAAGAAACGTCAGTGCAAAACAGGATCTCGCCTCAGCGGGAGCAACAGCTGCAATGAATCGGAGGGTATAAAAACGACAAATGACATAATAATTACATGATGCGATGCAGGAAAGAGTTCAGAAACGACGACGCATTCCGCTGTCCACGATTTTTCGTAGTCAGGGAATGAACGAGCTTTATGGATGGGCTGGGTTTTATTCTTCTTTTCAAAACGAGCATAGCTTGCGGGGCGTTACTTCAATCTTTCATTTGGCACGAACATTCTTCCTATCATACCCTTACTTGTTTTTTGAAAGTGCTAAATAAAGCGACGGCGGCGGCAAGACTTCGTTTCCATATCATTTTTTTTCGACGCAAAATAAACTTGGGGATAAGAATGAATGGATGGTGGTGGTTTCTTCTGGTTTCTGGTGGGGATGCAATGGGGATTGTGTATGTGGTCTTCAGGCTGTAGTTGGAAGTTTTTTTCTCTTCATCTCTAACTACACGAAAGGTGGCGGAGTGGACGAAGATAAAATTCGCTGTCAACTTGCTTTTGCTTATGAAAGGCTGGTGGGTGATAAGAGACCCTTTGATGGTATAAATGTAAAAATAATGTTCGGTTGCTGAGCCGTGGTGATCACGTTCCTACTTTTTATTTTTGGCCGGATTGGCTGGTCTGGTTTGGTTTGCTAGGTGTTAGTATTGCAACGAGGCATTATTTTTATGTTGCTGGTGGTTGCTTTGGTGGGGGTGATTGGATGGATGAATTGAGTTCTGTGGGTGGGTGGGTAGGGGTGTTGAAGGGGGGTGATAGATGAGATGTGAGATGTGAGATGAGAATAGAGAGGTGTTAATGTTGTGTTTTTATGATGTTTGTGAGGGTTCTACGTAGGTTGTGAGATCTTTGACACGATGAATGTCTGACATCACTTGCTGGCTCGTACGCCAGGCTTCACAACTTGTCGAGCTTACTTTCTTCGGGTATCTGGGTATTGAATTGTCATCGCTGCGAACGTTGGATCTTCGTTTAACAGTATAGAGCCAGGCTGAACAACATAATTGCTGTCTTCTACGATACTACTCTCAAACTGTCACTTCTACGACTATCTAGACAACCTGCCAATGGGTTAAGGAAGTTGAATGCCATGACACACTTTCAATAGCCATAGAAGGCTCCTCTGTGTAGAAACTACTTACTAGTTGATAGGTGGCAATTCTAGACCTATATGGAACGGTTGTATAGGCCCGTTAAGGTTAGTCTTTCAGTTTTCCATCAATAATAGTGTAAGCAGAACTGACCTCGGCAAACAGCTTTTTGAGAAGCCCTTCGACCGCACCATGCGGCTCATAAAGCCCTTCTTTAATTCAGACGATGTTCTAGACACTGATGCAATTCTCCATGATCTCACAATCGCCTTCGGCGTTACGGCTCCGGATAAAGTACCCCTCCTCGTCATGCTGTGAAGCGGAACATCTGTCCCTCATCGGTTAGTTCCCGAGTGGATAAAGTTGTATTTCCCCTTCTCTTCAACTTCTCCACGTTTTTCGCGATGCTAGCTCAATTGCTAGATCGATTCTCTCCCCGATATTGCGGTACGACATGCAGCTACTATGACGCTACGACTGTCACTCGCGCGCGACTTGCTGGATATTGCCGGCTAAATCGAAAGAGCATCCACCGTGAATTGCTTGATTAAAAAGAGTCCGGGGAGGCAAAATGCAATTAATAAAAGCTGGGTCGGTTCCTGAATTGAGATTGTGTAAGTCAAGCTCTTCAAGATGTTGTTCAATTCGGTTTTGGTGTTGAGTGCCTCGCTCGCCACTTGTGCTCTTGCGGTCTCGAATGCGGCTACTTCTCTGACTCTTCTTTATCAGAATAACTTGAACGCTTCGGACGATAGGAATCATGCTAGTTTCCTCTTGCTTGATAGCAATAACAGGGCAGGTGCTATTTCGGCTTGTGCTGCTTTGAACGAGACTCTACTTCCAAGTTCAATCATCAACGCGCATCGTTCAGATATACAACAATCCCTCGCTTACGTCGCATCTACGAGAAAAGCGTTCTCAAACCAACTCTACCATGTTCAAGATGGTCTTCTTGAGGGATACGGCACCTTTACCATTCGCACTCTGGCTCTAGGGGCTCGTGTTCCTGTGCTATGCTCCCAATCAAGCACTTCTTCTCAACCTAGCAGCTCAAGCGCCAGTGCAAACAACCAAGTTAGCATCGCATCAGGTGGCAATACCTACGTGGGTTACCGAAATCAAAAGTCATTTCGATTCCTCGGTATCCCGTACGCGAATGCTCCGCAAAGATTCGTGCACTCCTCATTATACACGCCTAAAGGTCAAACCATCCAGGCCACCAAATATGGTGCTCAATGCGCTCAAGGGGGTTCAGGAAGCGAGGACTGTCTGTTCGTTAATATTCAGACTCCGTTTATTCCAAGACAAGGAGCGACTGACGAACTGCGTCCTGTGATGTTTTGGATTCATGGAGGTGGTTTTACGGGGGGTTCTGGTGCGGATTCCGGAAGTGATGGTGGGAATCTGGCTTCGAGAGAGGATATCGTGGTTGTGAATATTAATTATAGACTTTCTACTTTGGGGTTCCTTGCTATTCCTGGGACGAATGTTACGGGGAATTATGGTATTGGTGATCAGGTTACTGCTCTTGAGGTATGGTTCCCAGTTATTTCTCTCCAGATCCTTTAACACATACTGACTTCTTCCTCAGTGGACTATCCAAAACATTGCTTCATTCGGAGGCGATCCCAAGAAAATTACCATCATCGGCGAATCAGCTGGAGCAGGTTCAGTTCGAACTCTTCTCGGCTCACCAAAAGCAATCGGCAAATACCAAGGAGCAGTAGCAATGTCCAATCTCGGAGGAGGTGTAGCTTTAGGTGTCAATGGAGATTATGCCACAACATACAGCAGCTACCTCTCAATCTCAGCGTCCTACACCACGGCCGGTCAACAAATCTTTCAATCCGCAGGTTGTACACAATCCTCAATCGAAGCTCAAATCGCCTGTCTCAAAGCTGTCCCCGCCCTTCAAGTAGTCAGCTACCCAACCGTCGCCCGCTACGTCGTCCAAGACGGTACATATGTCAACACGCCCAACCTGGACCTCGTCACCAAAAACGGCAGCGCAGCATACGTCCCCGTGATCTTCGGAATCGTCGACAACGACGGCGCTTCTTTCTCCACCTACCCAAAAACACCAGTCACCACCGAACTCGCCGGCATCCAAGCCTCCCTAGGTATTTCAGCATCCAACGCCCAATCCATCATCGACAGCAAACTCTTCCCCTACTACGACACCGGCAACATCACGCTCGACTCCTTCAACGTCTCCCAACGCGTCGCCACAGACCTGCAATTCCGCTGCGTCGACCAGGCCACCGTCTACGCCGCCTCGCAATCTCACGTCTTCCCCAAATCCTACTTCTACCAAATGCAACGCTCCACCGGCGGCTACGACCCCAACAACCTCGGTGGCCCGCCAAAATCCGCACAATACCCCAACGGCAACCCCAACCTGCCCTACTTTAAACTCCATGGCGCGGATATGCCGTGGGTCTTCGGCAACCTAGGCACGTTGCGTGATTCCAACGATCTCTACTCGATTCAACTCACGTCCGGGTATTTTGCCGCGTTTATCAAGACTGGGGATCCGAATCCTGAGGATAGGTATCTGAAGATTCGCGGGTATGAGAGGAGTCTTGAGGCGATTGCGGCAACGGGACCGTGGGAACAGGTGGGTGGTGCGGAGGGGAAGATTAAGTTGTTGGATTATCCGTCGAGGACGGCGGGGTTTGTGGATGTGCAGCAGTGTGCGTGGTTGGGGTATGGGTTGGATTATTATTTGAAGGGTGGTGCGTAGGGCGTGGTTGATGGGGTGACGAAAATGTATATATGTTGAATATATTTGTTTGTATGATACTTTTCAAAGGTCTTCATCGAGGCTCAGCATGTGGGTTGAAATTGAGATGTTACTTGGAATAAGAACTTGAACTTCTGGCTAGCCGAAGTTAAGCAAGCAGTTGGGAGTTTTGGATGACTTTAGCCTACACGTGCAAACTCCGCTCTATTCTATACTCTGGTAGACTAGATCTTAGCCTCGAGGCACCCTGTTAAGTGCCATAACCACTCCATACAAGTCAGACAAACGAAATCTCATGGCAGAGCCAGAAGTAGTATCTCACACGTCAAAACTTGCAAAATTATCTATGAACCTTCGTGGGAAGGAAATGGAAGTAGTAGAGTAAGTAACAGAGGGAGAAAGTAATATATTAAGATGTCTAAAGGAGAGTAAGTGAGCAGAGCTCGTACGAGGTATATATACAGGAATAGATGGAACTAAGCCGAAAGAAGGTTACACGTGATCTTAGGTCAACACTATCCTCGAGCTTCATGACTACTATATCCCTCCTAATCCCTTCTTACGTCAAATCATACTATCAGAACATTTCTAGCAACTCATATCACTCACACCAACCGCCACATACCTTCCAGCTCTTACCATCCGCCACAAGCGAGCAACTCATCAACCACTATAAACTTACAGCCATAATACCTTCGTCCATGTTACACAAAATCCTAATCATCCTCAACCAAATCCCGAGTATCAACCGTCCCAAGAGTCTCAACACTCTCCACACTACCATTTGAACTCTGAGAACCGTTGATTTTCATATCTACCCCACCATTCCTCATCTCCCCACGTTTCGCCGTCCTCTCAGCCTCAGCATTAAGCGTCGCCCAAGTCAAAGGCGTGCTTTTATTCCCCCCACCCCCCTTACCCGTGCCCTCCTCACCATCACGACCTTCCGCCGGCTTCTTGCCCTTAGAACCAAACGCCCCCCACCCAACATCCGGGCTTTTACCCCCCTCACCCTCCTTATCCGCGTCCCCCGCAGGCGTCCACTCTAGAAGGAGTTCCTTCACAATATCATCGACAGAGTCTTTCCGCGGTCTGAGATTAAACGACTTGCCGTCGTAATACTCCGGATACGGCATTTGCGGTCGTCTAGGAGGTCTGTCGTCTTCCAGCGGGTGAGAGGCCTGTCGAAACGCGTTTGAGGGCCGCAGTGTCATCTCTTGGTGTCGTGGCGGTTGGGGTCGTCTGCTTATATCGAGATTCATGTCTTTGTAGTGGTCATTAGACGTGTCCCGTCTGCGCTTTTCTTGCTCACTAAGCATGTCGTATCTGCGTCTGTCCATGGTTGGTGTGGGTATGCGATCCGCGCCGGTTCTGTTGGGCGGCGGTGGCATCCGGTCTGATTCACTGTGCTTTCTACCCGCGGCGTCTCTGCTGGCATCTCTCGGCCGTATGGTATCTTGACGGTCATTCCATCTGTTGCTGGCATCCGGACTTGGGTCGCGCGTTCCGAAGGTCGATGTGTGGTGGGCTCTGGTAGGAGATCTATTAAATTCCCGGCCAACACGGTCAGCAATTACTGGTCGTGCTTTGTTGCTGTGCTCCCGGTCTTGGTACGGAACAGGTGCCGGTGCAGAACCGTAGACGTTGCTTGGATAGCTTTGAGTAGGAAGCCGTGGTGGTGGGCGCCCATAAACGTTGCTTGGATAACCTTGAGTAGGAACTGGTGCAGATCCATAGCCGTAGCCTGGATAATCTTGAGCAGGAACTGCTGGTGTTGTGTAATCAGTATAGTTCTGAGCCCGAACTGGTGCTGGTACATAAGCTGCACGACTCTGAGCACCGAAGGGTGGTGGAGCAAAAGGCGACGGTGAAGACGGTCTACGGAGTTCATACTCGTAACGCAATGAATTACGAGGCATCGTACTCCTACGAGCGTAGTCCATATCAAAACCTTCTCTCCATGAGAATGAAGATGGGCTAGCACTCCGTGAAGAGTGATAAGATGTACGCGGACGTGGCAATCCATTGGAAAAACCACTACCCTGATTCCCAGCACTAGGTTCCGCGATAGGACGTTCTTGTGTCTGCAAGGGCTCTTCTTTTCTTGGCGATGGCTCAAAAGGCCGTCCCCGTGGATCTCTTTTCAAATAAACGACCATCGTAAGCAAGCCAGCGGTTACAGCCGTGAAATCATCTAGTTGCGCCAAGTTCCATTCGAATCCACTGTTCCCTTCTTGTGCTCTCATTTGGTCTACGATCAAGTCAATCTGCTCTTGCACCTGTGGCCATGATCGTGTTTTCTTTTCGATCACATTCGGTGGATGCTTATTCAGTTCCGCTATATGATTCACAACACTTTCTTCGGAGAACTGTTCTCTCGTGGCGGTTGGTGCGAAAGGAGCAGAGATACTGCGAGGGTCGTATGGGTCGGACATGCGGATTGTGTAGACAGCATAGTTGGCGGCAAGGATAGCTTCTACTCACCGACGAAGTGGTTAGCACAACTAGTTGAAAATAACGAAAGAGTACATACCCTTTGGTTTCTGAACACCACGAGGATCCTCTCTCCTCAATTTCCATTTCAGGTCAGCTGGAAGTAATGGCTTTGGATCTAAATATCTTGTTGACCCATCTCCATCTTCCCGGTGACCTCCTTCAGGGGAAAGTTTCTCATTGTATATAATAGCAACCAAGACCTTCTTCGAAGTGAGCCAGGGACGGACTTTCTCCCCGCGAACCCATTTCAATTCTACCAGAGCCTTACCATACCCTTCGTCAGCTTCCAGGATTTCAGCGAGGGTAGACACCTCATCTGAACCCAAAAACGCAAAGTCCTTCCACGATATAGAGCCCGATGAACGCATATCTGACATCTGGCGTTTGCGCATGGAAAAATGACCGGCACATGGTATCTGCTGATACTCCCTCCCACGTATCACGAAAGCTGTTATCAACGCGCCTGGACCAAACATCTTCTCGAGATCATCTTGGGACATGTAGTCGAGGCGAGCGACACGACGGAGAGCCTGGGCCACCACAGTTCGTTTCTTAGTTTCTTCTGAGCCATAACTCACTCCACTGACACTGCGCGCAGTTGCTGAAGAAGTCGGCCGGCTTTTCCTGTGTGTTTCTGAAGGGATACTGGTGATCGAGTTTGGTTTCTGATTTGCTATCTCTGGTGAAATCGGGTGCATTCGTCCCTGGGACTTCCTTTCACTCCTACCAAATACATCTGTGTGATGTTCCCCACTACTTTGCGCAGTCAATAGATCGCGAGACTTGGAGCTGGAATGAAATTCTTTGCTTTTCGTGTCGGATTCCGCAACGTTGTTAGTGCTTTTGAGAACATCCTCCACGATCTTTTGTTGCCTCGAGGGCTTCTTTGTGCTATGTTGTGACGTTTCTGCCTCTGGCTGCTTTTCATGAAAGCTCGAACTGTCAGATTCGCTGTAAAAGCTTTTTTCGCCATTATTTCTCCTAATTGAGTTCTGCTGTGCTCCATTGTTTATATGAATTCTCGCGTGGGGGACTTTTGGGGGGTCGTGTGATTTTTGGATGGGCTGCTCTTTGTTAACATGGTCTCGGACATCGCCATTGGTTCTGTGATATTCTTGAGCCTTGAATGTGTCGTCTTCGTCTTCCGTCAATAGCGAGACTTGATGTATTGCTTGCTTTCGTAGTTGTTTACTCCCACCTTTCTGGATATCAGGTTGATCCTCCCGGATTTTATTGAGTATGCTGGGCTTTCGCATTGGTGCTTGTGAATCGCTCCAGACTTCAGTTAAGGAAAGACTCGGCCGACTTCGCCTAAGTGCTGGCACTGAAACAGCATCTTGTCGATGAGAGGTGTTATCAACCGCTGGTTCAGATGAGTCTTTTCTTATGGCCCTTTTGTTTGATATGCTGTTTGTTGTGCTGTTGCCAATAGATTCATCATGACTTGAAATTCGAGCATTACGGTTTACGAATTCACCTTCTTCGGCAGAAGGAGCACCATCTCCAGCAGCATCTGGTTTCCTTAGGCAGGCACCATCGACTTGAGGTACGCTGTTATCAGGTGGAGGGGTAGCGGAGTGAGCACGCTTTGTAGAGGAGCGAAGAGCTTCCACATCTGTTTCGATTGTGTGATCCATCTAGGACTGTCAGCACATTTCAAACCTTTTGTTGATGCGTCTACTTACCACAGTCGGTTGCCGGTATTGTGTTCGCTTTTTTAAAGAGTCATCCGCGTTTGCACTTTCGGCGTGTCTCAGTTTTTCTTTCTGTCGTCGAGATGTAACGCTGGAGACAGATCCATGCTCAGGGTGCAACGAAGCATCTTCTGTTTCCTCCATTGGCGTTGGTGATGCAGAGAAAGGCATTCCTTCAGGATCAAGACCAGCATTTTTATTAGGAACAGACTTTGATGGGAATGACTGCTGAAATGGTTGAGCTTTTGTGATGTGCTGCTGTGCGTCGCGGAACATACGAGCTGCTAGTTTAGTCTCTGGAGTTTCACTGACTTGACTGTCTTGTCGATCAACTCTTTCCTTCCTTGTGGGAGGTGCTTTTTGAGGAGGTGGAGAATTGGCTCTTTGTCGTCGGGTCGGGCGGGTGTCGTAGGAAGCTCTTTCGTTCGACCTGGCGCTGCTGAACGGTTCATGTGCCCGTCCATTGAGCCCAACTAATCCCTGCTTTTCACCCAAGACTGGTCTTTCGTGTACGGGAACATCTTCATATCTGACGGCTTTCTGCCGATTTAAAATTTCGAATTCTTGCTCAAGCTCCAAGCGCTGTCGAGCGTCCCACTCCGTATCATCCTGATTTTTGTCATAAAGTCCAGACCGTAAATACATTTCTTTGATCTGTGCTAATATGCGTGGGATTTCAAGTATGTCCCTATTGCCTAAAGCTCTATTTTTCGTCAGCAAATTGATAGGGCATTGGGTCGAATCGCTTACAGATTTGATATGTTAGCTCTAAAGTTAACAATTTGCAAAATCAAGCTCAGGCCTGACTGTTGTCTTTCCAGCTCTGCGACGTATTTTTCTAGATTCGTTCCGTTTTTATACAACAACTTCACACGCTGTCGTTTTGGTAGTTTGTGACTTATGTCTATTGTCACAGTGGGTATTTCATCATTCGAAGCAACAGGAATGCTGTTCTTCCAAGCTAGTTGTTTCCTTAAAACCCAAACCTCCAAGTCTCTCGGTTTTTCGGTCCTCGCAATGGTGCCCTCGATGTACCAAAATATCTCCACACACTTGTCGGTCATAGACTGCATGTCATGGATGGCTCTCGGGGAGAACAAGACAGCCTTGCCGCGTGTCCTAAGATTTTCTCGCTCCTGCCTCAACAATTGCTCAATCTCATTCAGAGCATAACTGATAGACTTTACGTTATGCAGTATATTGCGCAAAGTGGCATCCGCAGCGTTAAACTCCTCGAAGGTCTTTTCAACGAATTGGGCGAGCTTGAAGCCGAAGGCGGCAATCCCAACCACTGATCCTACTGCTCCGAGGATTGTTACCGGGTCCATGGTCTAGCCCTTCATAGTTTGATTTCTACTTCAAAAAGTAGATTTTCATAGCATTAATATCAGTGAATCCATCTCTCGGGGTGGAATTAGATGGCCACGATGGCGGAACTGAACTTTTAAGCAAGGGGTGAGGCTGAGCTTTCGCGTTCCACTAGACGTACGAAAAAGGAAATAAAGGCTGCATGAACTGCATCATAGGCCGCAGGATGCATATTAACTGTAGGATGACGGGAATCTAAAAACAGGTTCTGATGCTCCGCTGTGTGTCGACTGAGGGGGCCAAAACTGTGGGTAGAGTGAAAGCGTAGTCCAAAAATCGAATTTGGGGAACATAGTTAATTAAACCTACTTATAATATATGGCCAAACGACAAGTTTGTAAGCTATAGCAACTAGTCCAAGTACGTTATGATATAGTAAACTGGATCTCTGAAACCTGTTGTGTTTGAACGTGACATCAAAACTTGCCTTTTGGTTATCGCGAGGGGCGGCTCTTTTCTAGCATTAAAATACTAGCGTTTAAGCTTCCGTGGTGTTCAGTTCTAACCTTACGTTTTCAAACCCTACGATAAAAGAAAACAAGTAAGAGACAAAGATGTCTTGTTGTTCTAGCCCCTCTTATTCTTTGCCTTCCAGCCCAGAACAGATAGCTCGAAAGTTGCGGGTTCAACTTTGCCCTTCTGATAAGAGGCGTGGAGTTTGAGTTGCGAGTTAATCCTTGACTCAACTTCTGAAGGTCGCTGATGCCCAAGCCGTTCAACAGGCACATCTAAGGATTCGTAAAGCACCAAGCTTCCAGTATCCCGCATACTAACGCCTTGTGGATCTATGACTCCATCAATACTGCGCAAATTAGGTAGATTTGTCAGCAGATTGGGGTGAAGAGTAGGATTATATGGAGACGATGGAGGTCCTTGAGGAACAACGTGGATGGCGATACGGTGTATGGCATCAAAAAACAGATATGGTCTTTTTCTGAACCGAACGAAGACGTATCTGAATAAAATTTTATGGTGCATGCTCGGAAAGTATAGAGTATCGTTTGAATCCCATGGTAAGAAGTCACTCCGGACGCTTGTCATGACGGTCAGAACGTAGACTTTTTGCACTGTCATTCGAGCTTCTCGACAGACGTGCAAGAGGCTCAGAACTTGTTTTAAAGAAACGTTGCAAGCCGGTCCAGACCAGGCACTTTTACTTGCACTGCATGTGTTACAAGAGCAATCGCGTTCGAATATTCTAAGTCGGCGTCTCCAGTCAGACTCATCAGGGTGGCGTTCAAGATATTTGTTCCATTTGTGGGCTATTTCCGAATGCCCTGGCCATGGGCCCATTAGCTCTTTCGGGGAGAGAAGTATTGCTTTTGCGTTGGACAGGTCGAAGTTCAAATGGAATATCACAGATGGCCCATTGACATCGCGTGGATCCGGCGTGGCAAGCTTCCAGATTTGTAAACGGATTTCGACTGGCAGTCGTTGGAATGAATGGAATGTTTCCTCTTCCAACCAAGGTGCAGATTTGTTTTCTTCGAATTCCCAGCCTGATGCATCGCTCAAAGAGTCATACTGAGAGCTTCCCGGTTCGTCTGACCATTCGTACAGATCTTCGTGCTCGTGCTCGTGCTCGTCCTCGTCAATATCTTGATCTAACTCTTCATTTTCGTCGTCGTCTGCACTGGATTGCTCATCTGAGCCTTCGCTGGCGTGTTCGTATTCGATCGAGTTGTGTGCCGAGGGAGAGTGATTCTGCACAGGAGATTTAAAC